TGGAGTATAGTGGCTGCTCCCAGCCACCGCAGCCTCGACCTTCCACCTCAGCCTTACAAGGACCTGGAACTACAGGCGCACGCTACCACGCCCCGCTGATTTTTTGATTTATTGTAGAGATGAGGTCTCGCCAAGTTGCCCAGGCGGGTCTCGAACCTGCAGGCTCAGGCAATTCACTCACCTCGGCCTCCCAAAGCGCGGGATTACAGGCTGAGCCACCGAGCCCGGCTGATAACTTGATTTTAATGTGGAATTCTTTCTAAATCTGGTTTAGTTTTTTTTTTGTAGTCTGTGGATTACTATGGATCACCTATGGCATTTGCCATTTTTCTACCTAAATACACCACATTTGCCATAAGCTTTATTGTTCTTTAAAAGCAGTATTCTCCAAGGTAATAGTAATCTTTTAGTGGGAAGAAACTTAGGACATGATCCATCCTAACAGTAAATTTGCTCGGATGTGGTAGCCAAGAGCCTTGACAACGTGCCAACATATCCAGGGCAGACGGAGAGTTGGTTATCAGTGGTCTGACTTGAAGTACAGGTACATTTGAAGAGATAGATAGGGAAGGCTCACCTGGCATAGGTTGGGACCCAGAGCTTTATAACTGTCATGAAATAGTTTAAATGACTGTTATTTGTTGCAGGGATTATTAAACTTTTTTGAAGGTCTCCAGGGTCCATAGAAAACACAGTATAGTCAGCAAGGATTTAAAAACATTAATTTGATACAAATGAATACTTTAAAAAATGAAGTGGATTTGTTCTGAGATGCTAAGTAGTCTAAAAATTTAAGCAAAAATTGCCTGGTCATGGTTGTTAAAAGAATTTGTATAAATAATCTCATGTACTGTTCCTTTCCTGTAATTCTAGCAAATACTGGATTTTTTTTACCTGTGGTTCTGTTATCATAGTTCTTATACGGTAGTTTAAAATTCTGGTGGTGACTTGCTTGTTTTAAACTGAAAAATTATTTTTGGTACTGGTAGGAGGAATTGGATATTTCCTGAGTTTTTCTTTTTTCTTTTTTTTTTTTTTTTTTTTTTTGATTTGGAGTCTCACTCTGTCACCCAGACTGGAGTGCAGTGGCCGCTCCTGGCCACTGCAGCCTCCCCCTGCTGGGCTCCGGTGATCCTTCCGCTTTAGCCTTCCAAGTAGCTGGAACTACAGGGGCGCACTACCATGCCCGGCTAATTTTTGATTTATTGTAAAGATGAGGTCTTGCCAAGTTCCCCAGGTGGGTCTCGAACCCACGGGCTCAGGCAATCCACTCACCTCAGCCTCCCAAAGGCGTGGGATTATAGGCTGAGCCACCGAGCCCGGCTGAGTTTTTCTTTTTAATGCCATTTTATTTAGGATGTACATTTCTTTTGGAATAGTTTTCAACATGGCATTGATTTTAAAGAGTTTTGACTTCAAATGTTTTTATTGGCTTTAAACAAATTATATAATTTTTTTTAACATTGATGTTTCTCTCCATAGATATTTGGAGTTCTGACAGCATGGCAGACATTGACAAGTAAGTGGCGGATAGTTGGTTCTTTTTCAGAAATTTGGCATCACTTTGTACTATGTTGTAGTTAATGGCAGTATGAATTATATATTATGAAAATGTATGGTAATGTTTGATGCTTAGTACCTACTATTATAAAAGTTGGGAATAGTGTATCCAAGATAAAATATAGTATATATAATTACTGTCAGAAAGATACTAAACCATTTGTTGATGCTTACTCTTAAGTGCTGAGCATGATAGTGGATCATAAACACTTGGAGAAACCATTTTGATCAGATATGTATTTCCCAAAGATTTTACTACTTACACTGTAATGTACCATATGTGTAAGATATGTATAAAATGTATATGCAGAGTTCAAACAATATTAAGACACCTGTGCACTAGTTAAAAATAGAACATTATATATGTCAGAAGCCCTTTGCTCAGTTGCTCCTTTTTGCTCCAGGGGTGAAAGTACTCTTCTGACTAGTTAATTTCTTTGCTTTTCTTTATCGTTTTACCACCTGTTAATTCTTAGTGCTTTGAAGACATGAATAGCATTCACAAAGTAAGCTATGTAAAACAATATTACCACTGTTTTTTGAAGGCTCCGAGATAGGATAACAAAAAGGAAAAAAGACCATAGTCTGGCTTCAAGTTTCCTGAGGTTTTCCAAGTACTTATTCTGGAAGTCATTGGGCAAGATCATGTATCCTGGGAAACATAGGGTTTAATCAAGTTGGCATATAGTAGGGTTCTAGTATGGATGGATGTTTTGCAGAAATATGCTCAGGAAGAATGGAATGAGCTGCACAATATTTGTTAGTGATTTTACAGGAGCCTGTGTTAAAATAGGACACATGTGAGTGGGAGGGATGATGTGATGACCCTCAACTGTGGTAGGCATTTCATGGAGGTGGGAGGGCAGGAAGTTTCAGCACAAGGTCAGCACATACAATTACAAATAGGAATTCCAGTCAATCTCATGCATTGTCTTCAGCATAAGAAAACAGAAGAGTGAAAGTGACTGTCTTCTGGGTCATACTTCTCTAATCTGGATTGCTCAACCCTTTATACATGGCTGTCATTGGATCTGTTTTATTGCAACTCAAGGTTTCCTTTTGCTTCTTCTCTCTTGGATTTGCTCTTTGCTATATTCTATGTTACTTTCTCTTGTTTCTCTTATTTCTTAGAAGAGGGCAAGGGATGTAAATAATTTTGAGATGTGGCATGAGTGAGAATGACTATTCTGCCCTTATGCTTAATAGTTTGTGTATAGAATAGTAAGGTGGGACTCATTTCTCTTCAGGATTTTGAAGGCACTACTCCATTGTCACCTTGCTTTCAGTGTTGCTGTGTTGCAGTTCAAAGTCATATTTATTACTGATTTCTAAGTGATAGAGTACACAGTACATATATTTCTGGAAGCTCCTCTGACTTCAGAGTTCTGACATTTTCACGTTACTTTGTTTTTAATCTTGTGTTAGGCATTCAGTGGTATGGACTCTTTCAGTGTAGCAATTCAGTGGCCTTCAGTTCAGGGAATATTCTTGACTGACTTTGTTGATTGCCTGCTTTCTGTTTTCTTTTTCTGGGCTCCAGTTAGATGTTGTATGTTGAGATTGGTCTTCTAATTATCTTCTGTCCTATTTTCCATCTTTGTTTCTTTGCTCCTTTCTGGGCAGAGCTGAAGAATATCTTTCAACTTTTGTATTGAGTTTTGTAATTTCTGTTTTAGTTTCTAAGAGCTCCTTTGCTCTCTGTTCCTTTTTTAAAATAGCCTCCTCTCGTTTCATTGTGATTGTAATATCTCTGGATGTTTCTTCCACCTGTGTAGTCTTTTTGCTCTTAAATTTTCTCTCATTTGTTTTGGTCTCATTGTAAGGCTGTCCTCAAAAATGAGGCAACGTTTGGTTGTTTATTAAGATTGGCTTGGGTGGAGGTAGGAGCAGTTGAGGGATACTTAAAAAAAAAAAGAGCGATTGTCACATTTGAGTATTGGAGTGGGAGTGGGAGGCTTGTTAATTTGGAATTTTGGTGTAGGGTTGTCAGAGTGTGCATTTGTTACGAGAACCTCCAATGTCAGAATGGTGTTTTTTCCAGGCTGGTCTGATTCTTCAGTGAGCAGCATCTGTAAAGATCTGGCTTCCAGTGTGTAAAAATCTGGCTTCCAGTGTTGTGGGACCAAATTGAGATAAGGTGGCTAGGGAGAGGTGTCTGTGTTCAGCCTTCTACTATGTACATAGCCACTCTTAACTGTATCTGTTGTCCCTCAGTCCAAGTTTTGAGTTTTATCCTTTCCGGAGGGCAAACTGCCATATTTCTGCTCAGGTTGGGGAGAAGAGCAAGAATCTCACTACCTATCAGTTTTTACTTAGTGTTTCAGCCACCTTCCTTATTTTAGCTACCTTCACCCTTTTCCCCCCATCCCCATCAGTTTGTGTCCTTTTGAAGACTGTATTTAGTCTGGTTCTCGGCTTTCCCCACTGCTAATTTAGATTTCATTTCTCTTGTCTATTTTCCAGCTTCCAACATTTTCTATACTTGTCTGCTTGTCCTTCAGTGCTCATATATGTTTTGAAAACTTTTTTTTTTTTTTTTTGACAAAGTCTCACTCTGTTGCCCAGACTGGAGTGCAGTAGTGGCCGCTCCCGGCCACCACTGCAGCCTCGACCTGCTGGGCTCCGGCGATCTTTCCGCCTCAGCCTTCCGAGTAGCTGGAACTACAGGCGCGTGCTACCACACCCGGCTAATTTTTTGATTTATTGTAGAGATGAGGTCTTGCCAAGTTGCCCAGGCAGGTCTTGAGCCCGCGGGCTCAGGCAGTCCACTCACCTCAGCCTCCCAAAGAGCGGGATACAGGCTGAGCCACCGAGCCTGGCTGAAAAAAACTTCTTATCATAATTTTACTGGGGATTTTGGAAGTATTAACATCAGATGAGTTTGTGCTATGTGCCATCTTAACCTTGGAATCCTTATTTTGTTTTAAAAGTTTTTTCTTTTTCTTTTTCTTTTTTTTGTTTTGAGTTCGAGTCTCACTCCGTTGCCCAGGCCAGAGTGCGTTGGCATGCTCACGACCACCCCAGCATCGACTTGCTGGGCTCAGAGAGTCCTTCCGCCTAAGTCTTCCAAGTAACTGGAACTACAGGCGCATGCTACCATGCCCTGCTAGTTTTTTAAATTTATTGTAGAGATAAGGTCTTGCCAAGTTGCCCAGGCTGGTCTCAAACCCCTGGGCTCTGGCAATCCTCTTACCTCCACCTCCCAAAGTGCTGGAATTTCAGGTGTGAGCCACCACGCCAGCAAAAGAGGGGATTCTTGTTCTTAAAAGCGAGTTGGCAAACTTTGTAAAAGACTTGATAGTAAACATCTTAGGCTTTTGGGGCCATATATGGTTTCTAGAGGGGATCCTCCCTGTCTGGGGTTCAACATGCTGGTTCTGCATTCGTGAATTCAACTAACTGCAGGTGAAAACATTAGAGAAAAAAATTAAAGTATAACAACATAAAAAAAATACAGTTAAGCAAACAGTACAGTATAGCATTTATGCTGTAATTTAGAGGTGATTTAAAATATGCAGGAGAATGTGCATAGGTACCTGAGGGTGAGAGTTCCTGGAACCAGTATCCCGTGGACACTGAGGGTGCAATGTACTCAACTCCGCTGATGTGGTTTGAAAGCAACCACAGACATAACTGAATTAGTGTGTTGGTTCCAATGAAATTTTATTTGCAAAAATAGGGTTTTATTTATAAAAGTGGATTTGGTTATGTGACATGTGGATAGCTGTTTTAAAGCCTTAGGTTATCGATGTTCAGGTGGGCATGTTGGCTCACCTGTAATTCCAGCAATTTGGGAGGCAGAGGCGAGAGGATTCCCTGAGCCCAGGGGTTCCAGACCAGCCTGGGCAATTTAGAAAGACCTCGTTTCTACAATAAATACAAAAACTACCATGGTAGTGTGGACCTGTAGTGTCATTTCCTTGGAGGCTTAAGGTGGAAGGATCACCTGAGCTCATCAGGTCAATGCTGCAGTAGCCGTGAGCTTGCCTCTGTACTCCAACTTGGGTGACGGAGTGAGACTCCTCAGTTCAAAAAAAAAAAAAAAGAAACAGATCTAGATATTTAGTAAATGCTTAAAGACACTGGAGGAATGCTGCTCTGTGTTACCAATAGCCAGTTTTCCTTTAAGTACACGCATCTAAGTTTATATTAAGTCAAAGATATTTGGGAAATAGTCTTTATAACTTTTGGAGGCTGATTTCCTTAGTTGACGAGAATTTAAATTTTGCTAACAGAATATGGGTAACCTTTTCTGTACTTGTCCCTATATAAAAATTAGTTGCTGTCTCTATGAAAATTTTTCAAATGCTGTTTAGACACAAAAGCAATTAAATCTCTAATCCAAATATTAAAATGTAAAATTACACAAGAATTGTATGATGATTCTGTGTATTGATTTAGGAGTCCTTAATCCTCCTTTAATGCTAGGTACAGTCTGATGTTCAAAAATGAGATTTTTGGTGATTGTTTAAAATGAGATGGGAAGGAGGCCATCTTAGTACTTTGTAATCTTCTCTCAGTGATACCATTCTCCTGGCTTTGTTCTAAATAAAGGTCTTATTAAAGACCCCTAGAGGTCTTTACCTTTACTACTCTTCCTCATCTCCACTATGTAGTAAAAAAACAAAAACAAACCGGCTGCTGTGGTTGCTCCACAGTCATAAAGGAACCAGGATTCTTCTGCTTTTCCTAGCTCCTTAATGCTTAGCTGGGGTCTGATTCTCTGGGACACTCCTTGGTCCAGTGTGGCTAATGGAACTCTAGCTATCATACTCATATTCTAGGTGGGAGGGAAGGCAAGATAAAGATTAAAAGGCTTCCTAGTTGTCTACCATCCTGTAAGGATACTTCCTCAAAGTTCTACACTACTGCTTTTTTATCTTGCTGCTAAAACATAGTCATAATAGCCACATCTTGCTAAAAGATAGGCCAGGACTTTTAGCTTGGTGTGTTGCTATTCCATGTATAATCAGGATGTTACTAGTTAGAGTAGAACTAGCAGATATTAGGAAGAAATCACATATTTCCTGATGTCACATTCCCCCAAAACCTATCAAACCAATATTTTTAAAGCTTAAAACATATAAACTTTATATTTGACCATATGCTTTTAATAAAAGTTTAAGTACTTCCAATTTGATTTGTTTACATACAAAGTTAGACAGCTGCATTAACCTGCTGAATTTCCTGTTTTGTAGCTTTGAAAGGGGCATATTTAGAACATGAATTTGTTTTTCTGTAATTTTTTTGGTAATTGGTACATTTGAACTTTGGTGTGATACTGTGATATTATAGCAAAGAACAGTCTGAACTTGATCAAGATTTGGATGATGTTGAAGAAGTAGAAGAAGAAGAAACTGGTGAAGAAACAAAAATCAAAGGTATTATTTTAAATTACTTCAGGAGCCAGTAGTTGCTGGCACATGTCTTCTAGAGGGTAGTAATAAGTCCATTCTGTTTTTTGGACCCTTGGTCATTGTCCACTTTTCCACATACCTCCACTTTAGTGAGAGTGCGTGTGTGTGTGAGAGAGAGAGAAGGTATGAATGTAGTGGCTCATCAGAAGTCACTGTTTGCACCCTCTACTACTGGAGTGACTTGACATAGCTGTGTCAAACAGCTGCCTGTGAGTTTTGTCTGAACCTGAAATGTTAGAGATTGGAAGGGGTTGTTTTGGTGGTGCTTCTAAACACTATGTTTAATATATGGAAAATGTGATGTGTCTTTTTAAAAATTTACCCAACAGAAAAAATGCTAAATGTAGGCAATATCATCCAAAAATTATTTTAGTAGATAATTGTTGAAAGGAGTGGTGGTGGTAGGGAATTGTATTTTAGGTTATGTCCTATAGATCTGGGCCAAGCATACTGAGGTGCCAGATGACTGGTTTTCATTTTTAAGCCAAATGAAAGTTAATTGTGAAAAGACTTCTGAACTTGGTTAGTTTCATTTTGCAGCATTTTCTTAACAGATAAAGGACTGTATCCTCAGTGACTAATATTGATATTTCTAAGTGCATGGTGATTATCACAGCTGTATACCATCAAATAATTGAAATAATACCAGAGTTGCACTGACCTTCAAAAAATATAATTGGGGAAATTAATGGAAGTTTTGTGTAATAACTACTGAAGAGCAAGAGAAGATTAGCAACATAATTTGTTTTGTATAAATCTAGCATATTTTGGATTAAGTATACTTTTTAAAAGCCATTAATATCATTTTGTTTTCAGTTACGACTTATGTCTCAACTGTTAAAAGCTTTCCTTATACATACAAATATACTATACAACTTTTTAAAAGCCATTAATATCATTTTGTTTGGCTTCAGTTATGACTTATGTCTCAACTGTTAAAAACTTTCCTTATACATACAAATATACTATACAACATCAAACAAACATCCAGGTCACTCACTTTTTCTTTTTCCCTGGCTTAAAACTCACCATATTTGCAGTTTTCTGATGTGTGTTGTCTGTATTCAAAGGACTGTCAAGAGTCATAGATAGGCATCTGGATGAAGCTTTGAGCTTCCTAAAATGCAAGGTGGGCGAAGCACAAGATACTAGGAAGGGAAAAGATATTGTTCATAGTAGTTGTGGCAATGGCCTTGAGAAATGCCATGCTTTAGAGATTAGGAATCTGAAATATTTCTGAATATTGGGTTTTCTTCCTAGAGTGTATTTTCTTAGATTGCTCTGCCCATCTTTACTCATTATATGTACTAGCAATTTGTGGGCCAGTTAGGAAAACTTCATGAGATTGGATTGTCCTATTAAAAAAGCATAATACATTTTTATAAAAATCCTTCTTTCGATGCCCCCTTTTTTTTTTAAGCGCGTCAGCTGACTGTTCAGATGATGCAAAATCCTCAGATTCTTGCAGCCCTTCAAGAAAGACTTGATGGTCTGGTAGAAACACCAACAGGATACATTGAAAGGTACAAGTTCTTCTTTTCCATAGTCCTTATTTATCTTTATATAGTCAACATTGCAGGTGTGTCTTTTTAAGACCATCTAGAATCTAGGTATGCAGTGTGGAAACCTAATATTTGTTGGTATTCAATATAGGATTATTGGAATTTTAAGATGGTACTTAGTACCACCCATTTACATTGGTCTTTTAAAGCTTATTTTGATTGAGGTTCATAGGACGTAAACTGCTCTTAACCATTCCTGAGATATGTTTAGAGGTTTGTTAGAAGTGCACAGAATTAGAAGACATAGATTTCTTTTTTTGTTGGTGACATAAATCATTAATATCTGAATATCTTACTTAGCATATGCAGTTTTTAAGAAACTCAGCTTTATGATTTTTAAGATCCATTCAGGTTGCTATCTTGTATATATTGTACATAGTATAGTTCTTCATGGTGGGTGCTCACTATGTTCTGTTGTGTTCTTTTTTTTTGATGGACTTCTGTCTTTATCAACACGTTCTACTGTGGTGGATATCTTTGTAAATGTCCTCTAAAGGAATTGTGTTAGAATTTCTTTAGGGTGTGTACTTAGCAGTGGGATTGCTAGTTAATATAGGGTGTTCAAGTCTCAAGTATATCTGACTTGATTTCCAGAAATATTGTACCCAGTGCCTTGGAAATTGTTTTATCTTTGTGTCTCTGCTAACAATTAATATCACCCAGCTTTGAATTTTTTTTTTTAACCAATCTAAGAGTGTGGGCTCGTTTTTAAAGTTTGTATTTTGCCAGGCTCGGTGGCTCAGCCTGTAATCCTGCACTTTGGGAGGCTGAGGTGAGTGGATTACCTGAGCCTGCGGGTTCGAGACCCGCCTGGGCAACTAGGCAAGACGTCATCTCTACAATAAATCAAAAAATCAGCTGGGCATGGTAGTGCGTGCCTATAATTCCGGCTACTTGGAAGGCTGAGGCGATAGGATCGCCGGAGCCCAGCAGGTCGAGGCTGCAGTGGCTGGAAGCGGCCACTGCACTCCAGTCTGGGCAACAGAGTGAGACTCCAACTCAAAAAGTAAATAAATAAATAAAATAAAGTTTGTATTTTCTGATTGCTAATGAGTTTCAAACTCCCCCCCCCTTTTAAAATTTTTGTTTTGTTTGTTTTTTTAGGACAAGGTCTCACTATGTTGCCTAGGCTAGTCTCAAACTCCTGGGCTCATGTAGTCCTCCTGCCTTAGCTTCCCACAGTGTTGGGATTACAGGCATAAGTTGCTGCTCCTGGCCTGAGCATTTCTTGATAATGAGCTTTTCTTTCTTTCTTTTTTTTTTGAATTGGAGTCTCACTCTGTCGCCCGGACTGGAGTGCAGTGGCCGCTGCCGGCCACTGCAGCCTCGACCTGCTGGGCTCCAGCGATCCTTCCGCCTCAGCCTTCCAAGTAGCTGGAACTACAGGCATGCGCTGCCATGCCCGGCTAATTTTTTGATTTATAGTGGAGATGAGGTCTTCCCAAGTTGCCCAGCTGGGTCTCGAACCCGCGGGCTCAGGCAGTCCACTCACCTCAGCCTACCAAGGAGCAAGATTACAGGCTGAGCCACCAAGTCCAGCTTAATGAGCTTTTCTTGATAATGCTTGAGCCATTTTGGCTGCTTATTTATACCCTGTGTCTGTTATCCTGTGGGATTACTCTTTTTTTGTTTTTGTTTTTTTTTCATGTTTTGGAGAAGTCCTTTTATATTCTAAATGTTATTCCCTGATCAGTTTTAACCATTGTAAGTAATATATTATGTCATTTCTACTAATTTTATCTATGGAGTCCTCAGGTAAACAGAAGTCTTCGATTTTTTTTTTTTTTTTTCTTTTTTTCATTAATCAGTATTTTTTATTATGGTTTTGTGGGGTAAGGTCTTAGATTTTTTAGTAAAATATTTTACCCTAAGGCTTGTGTTTTGAAGTTGTTTAAGAAGTCCTTCCTAGTTCCCTTTCACATTTTCAGTTGACTAGTTTTACTTTATACATTTAGGTCTTTAATCCCTCTAGAGTCCACCTTTGTATTTGATGTAGGTAAGCATCTAGTTCCTGCCCCCTTTCAGTTTTCATACTATTCACTAAACTATTCTTTCCTCACTTATTTGTGAACTTACCTTTTGTTGCACAGCGCCTGTGTTCTGTTTCATTGTTCTTTTTGTCTCTATTTTGTCATTGTCACTCTTAATTACTGTAACTTTACAGTATGTCTTAATGTCTGTCAGTGCAAGTTACTTTATTTCATGCCCCCTCCCCCGAACACAGTATTATAATTGACCTAACCATAGATAGAACTTTATTCCACATTTTTGACAGCTAAGTTTACAGGGTTCTCAACAAAGTTATAAAATTTTGATAGGAATTGCACAGAACTTATAGATTGATGGAGAATTACATCTTTTTAGTATGGTCATATCCAGACAAATATTCAGATCACACTGTGTGTTTCTTATTATAGTTTCAAATATTCTTCATAAAGTTGGTTAATTTCTGTGTAGTTGTGTGGCTGTCGTGAATAATATCTTACATATTGTATTTTCTGGTTGCCTGTTCTTGATATTTAGAGGAGTATTGATTTTTTTTTTTTTTAAATCTTGTATCCAGTAAGCTTGCTATATTTATTGTAGCAATTTGTCCCCCTCCCCCAACAAAAGATCTTATCTGGAAGTAGTGGCAGTTTTAACTGGTCTATTTTTCCACATTATACTATACTCCATATGTTTTTTTTCTTTGACTGGGACTTTTAGGGCTATGTTAAACATGCATTAAAAACGGGCATCTTTGTCTTAATTCCATTCATAGTGAAAATGAATATAAAATCTCTGCATTGAAATCTGCCTTTTTTACTGTTTTTTTAATCTTGACTTTTTTAATGCTATCAATGAAGATGCTGTATTGAACTTTTTCCTTGAATTTATTGAGTAAATATATGTTTTGAAATACATACTTGATATCAAACCAGCCTTACATTCCTGTAATAAACCTAATCGTAATATGTTACTTAAATTGTTGAGTTGAACAGTTAATATTTAGAATCCTTATTAATGAAATGATCTTGTGAGTGTGTAAGTATGCATGTGTGTATGTATGTAAAAGTGAATGTGCATTAAGAAACTTTCCAGGGAGTGGTAATGCTTAAATGGTTTTAGCTGCTATTGAAGTTCATGGAGCTTTTACTTTTTCTGCAACAACTTCTGTAAGGCAGGAATTAACTGTTCCTTGAACAATTGGTAGAACTCCTAAAAATTTACTTGGACCTTTGGAGTTTGGAAATTAGAGGTCCTGGGGAATTTTGGGGTACTTAAAAAGAAACTAATCCAGGTTTTCGTGTCAGTTTTGGAATCTTATATTTTAAACATGTATGCATTTTATATCCATGTTTTTTTTTTTCTTTTCAGGAAGCAGGCCCTCACCAAATTATCTGGGTTTTAAATTAATTAGTACATAGTTGGTGTATTTTAAAAGTCTAGTTATTTTCTTTTTCATATTCTGTATTTTGCACCTTAATTTTACTAGTTGTATTGATCTTATTATATGTTTCTTAGAACATTAATTTTTCTTTGGATTTTACTTTTTTTTTATGTTTTGGTTGCTCTCAGTAGTTTCTGACTTTAGTGGCATTTTCTTCTTTTTTAGGTTTGCCCTATTACTCTTTCTAGTTTTTTAAATTGAATGCTTAGTTCATTTTATTTTTTAATTTGTGTCCTTTATGGCCTTAATACACTTGTTTTTGCAAAATTTCTGTATATGTTGGTTGCGAAGATCTTTGTTGAAATTAATAGCTTGAGTATATTTATATTGTTCAGATTCTCTTTATTTCTGCTTACTGATTGTCTGCTTGACTTAACAGTTTCTCGGTCAGTTAAATCTCCAATTGGAGACCAGGTGTGTTGGCTCAAGCCTGTAATCCCAGCACTTTGGAGGCTGAGGTGAGAGGTTTGCTTGAGCTCAAGGGGTTCAAAACCAGCAACTTGGTGAGACCTCATCTCTACAATAAATCAAAAAATTAGCTGAGCATGGTAGCACGCACCTATAGTTCCAGCTGCTTGGAGGACTGAGGAGGAATAATCACCTGAGCCCACCAGGTCAAGGCTGTGGTGGCTGGGAGCGAGCCACTATACTCCAGCCTGGGCGACAGAGTGAGACTCCCAACTCAAGAAAAAAAAATCTTCAATTGGTTTTGTTATTTCACCTTATATTTCTGTTAGTTGTGGATTGATATATTTTAAAGCCATATTATTAGGTATATGATGTTTGTGATGTCCATGTCTTGTTCTCTTGCTCCATTTTACTGATATATAATGTCCTCCTTTGTATTTTATGGTATTTTGGGGGCCACAAGTTCTGTTTGCCTAAAATTATGATGCCTACCCCAGTGTCCTTTTTTTAAAACCTGGTAATGGTAATGTATTTTTCCATCTGTATCTTCCTCTAGTACGAATGTTCAAGTTTTCATTTCTTGAAACTTACATTGTTTTTTGGATTTATTGCTGCCATCTTGTGTTTTTAATTTTACTTTGATTTTTTTTCTTGCTTCTTTCCATGAGATAGATCAGGTTGTTTTCTGCTGGTTCTAAAGTTAAGGCATTCTGTTTTTTATTATACTAGTATTTCATAACCTAATGCCTAAGTTTATTTATCTCTGTGGAGTTGTAAGTCTACCAGTATCTGTAAATGTGCTTTCCCTAGCTGTTTTTTCCTTTAAGTCAGCAGTGAAACTTACCAAGATATTTGACCACACTCATACTTTAATTTGAATCTCCTGGGTTTTTTTGTTTGTTTATTCTGTTTTTTACTTCCTCCAAAGTTTTTCAATATAGTGAGTACCTGTGGCATACCTCCTGAAGTCTGGTATACCTGATATAATTTTTATCTTTTATATCTAAACAATAGTTTGGCTATGAAATTATAAATTTAGAGTTCTTAAACATCTTAAAAATTACAATTCATTTTCTTGGCTGGGGAGTAGAGTAAGAATTTTTATATTGCCTTAATTCTGAGGAATTTATCATCCTCATTTGTTAAGATATCCTTCTCCTTTTCTGTTTGTCAGCAGATACTTTTGTCATCCATATCTCAGAGCTTTTCTATTTTCTGTCTTACATACTGCCTTCAGGGAGAACTTGTCAAGTTCATAAACTTTTTCCTCAGTTGAATCTATCCTGTTGTTGGTTATTTTAGTTACTGTGTTTTGCATACTTAACATCTTACTTTGTTTTAGATTTCTTGGTCTTGTTGCATATTGTTAATCTTTCTTCAATCTTTACATATATTTGCATTCTTATATTCTTTGTCCAATGATGCTGCTTCAGGTGATAATTGCCTCATTCTTTTATAGACATTGTACTACTGTAGTATCTAGTTATTTTGGCCTTTGAGCTGAGGCACATGGGACGATATCAGTTATCCTGGGATTAGGGAAAAATGAAGGTCAGACTGGTTTGTGACAGTTTCATGAAGTTTAAGGAGAATGGGGTGGGGTAAGCCTAAGTAGGGTACTCATTTTTGACTGTAAAGTTTGCTGCTAATTCCAGGTAGTTTTTCTTGTTTGCTTTAGAAGACAGTCTCCTTTGATTGAATTAGAATTCACCATTCCTAGATTGGATGAAGTAGAGGAATGAATGCTTGAGGGCTCTGAGCTAGTCCAGCTTTCATTTGCTCTTCATGTTACCTAGGAACATTGGCATTGGGCTTTTGCAAGGGGTGAAGGGGACAGGCATTGATTTTTAAAAAAATTTTTTGTAGGGCAATAACAGAACTTAAAAGCATTCTGGCAAAGATAAAGAATATGCTACTTCCAACCTGTCCTCAGTGCTGCCTGCTCTGGCCATTCCCTCCCCACATTGCAGCTCACCCTGAAGCCTTCAGTGTTATTTAGAAAGTGTGTGTGTGTGTGTGTGTGTGTGTGTGTGTGTGTGTGTGTGTGTGTGTGTGTGTGTGTCTCGCGTCTGGCCATTCCCTCCCCACATTGCAGCTCACCCTGAAGCCTTCAGTGTTATTTAGAAAGTGTGTGTGTGTGTGTGTCGCGCCTGAAATTGCTTGTGTGTGTGTGTGTGTGGCGCGCCTGAATAGTTGCTTCCTTCTTGATTGTAAAGTTTCTAGGTTAATTTAGGGGGGAGGAAGGGATGGTGTCAGGAAATGTCAGAAGCTCATGCTAGTTTACCACCTTGATAGAATATTGGTTTGTTTGTTTTTTTTACATTTAATTGTAGAAACAGAAAGTTGGTGTCTTTTTAAAATTTCTAATAATCTTAAGTTAATGGTTAAGTAAAAAAATTAGATGATTTACATAAATCTGTGGCTGGAGATTTTAACCTGGATTTTGTATCTGTTGTATAGATTGCCTAAAATTAGATAAATTTCAAATGTGAGCATTTTTGGTTGGTAGAGGGTACATATATATAATCATTTTTCAAGGGACTCATTTTTCAAGCTTTTTAACATCGGTGCCCTGTAGTGCATTGTATGATGTATAAATTAAATCTCAACAAAACTTATTTTAAAAATGTATCTCCTCCTTCATGTTACATACTTATTTAATATAATTTCATATTCCACATTAAATAGGGAGACTCAAACAGAAAGTAATGGTGTAGGATTTTGTCCTTTTTTCTAGTGTGTATATGCTCTCCCTCTTATTCCTAATACAGGTGAGATATGTAGTTAAAGAAAGAAAAAGTCATTTAATCACTGTTTTTCTCAGAGTTGTTTGTCTTTAATTTCATAAAAATCTATCTATTTATGGTTGAAATGCCAGCAGTGATAAACACTGAACTTGTTATAATGAAAGATTTGAAAACTGGGATCTTCATTTGACAATATTTTTATTTTCTTACCAGTTTACTTCACCTGGTTAAGTTACCACTTTTGAAATATTTTGTAGTCAATGGATCAGTGGATATCCTGAATTTTAATTACTTTGATCTGACTTTTGCTTTTAAATAGAAAACCTGTCATTCACTAAGTCTTATGCTTCGATTTCAATATGACAAAAGTGTGCTTTCTGTTTTGTTGTGATGCTGTGTAACTGGTTTCTAACCTTTCAGCTTGCCTAGGGTAGTTAAAAGACGAGTGAATGCTCTCAAAAACCTTCAAGTTAAATGTGCACAGATAGAAGCCAAATTCTATGAGGAAGTTCATGATCTTGAAAGGAAGTATGCTGTTCTCTATCAGCCTCTATTTGATAAGGTAATGCTTTCTTCTACTTGAATTTAATTTGTCTGACATCTAGCATTCTAGAAGATAAGCTCTGGAAATACATACAAACTTGAAGGAGGTTAGTCTTTAGCCTTCTCACTGAAACAATTATTAGATGTACTTATGTACTTGAGTAAACTATCAGCGATTAAGGTTATAGTATGCATTGATTATAAGAATTCTTAATGAGAAACCAATGTTTTTTATATAAACCTCTTTTTTTTTTTTTAAATCATTTTAGCGATTTGAGATTATTAATGCAATTTATGAACCTACGGAAGAAGAATGTGAATGGAAACCAGATGAAGAAGATGAAATTTCGGTTAGTATCAACTTTGTGTGTGTGTGTGTATGAGTGTGTGTGTGTGAGTTGGAGTCTAACTCTGTGTGTGTGTATTTGAGTTGGAGTCTATAACTCTGTTGCCCAGGCTGGAGTGCAGTGGCATGCTGATGGCCATTGTAGCCTCGACTTATTGGGCTTCAGCCTTCTGCCTCAGCCTTCCAAGTAGCTGGAACTACAGGCATGCACCACCATGCCTGGCCAATTCTTTTGACTTATTGTAGAGATGAGGTCTTGCCAGTTGCCCAGACTGAACCCATGGGCTCAGGCAATCCTCTCACCTCAGCCTCCCAAAGTGCTGGGATTATAGGTGTGAGCCACCGTGCCCAGATTGTGTGTTTTTAGATAACATCTTATGACTTGTCAGAAATATTAAGCATTTGGTGATGGAGTACAGTATTACATGATTAGTGGTGTTTTTATACCTAGTGTTTTCTTTTTTGTAAAGTGATAGTGCAGATAAGCTGTAGTTTAGCCTGACACCATTTGTTCCCAAAGTCATTTTTCTTCACATTTTCATTGTTTTTTGTTTTTTTGAGTTGGAGTCTCACTCTGTCGCCCAGACTGGAGTGCAGTGGCCGCTCCCGGCCACCGCAGCCTCGGCCTGCTGGGCTCCGGCGATCCTTCCGGCCTCAGCCTTCCGAGTAGCCGGAATTACAGGCATGCGCCACCATGCCCGGCTGATTTTTTTTTTTTATTATTTATTGTAGAGTTGAGGTCTCGCTGCCCAGGCGGGTCTCGAACCCGTGGGCTCAGGCAGTCCACTCACCTCAACCTCCCAAAGGTGTGGGATTACAGGCTGAGCCACCGAACCCGGCCGGCATTGCTATTTTAATGGTGTTTGGTAAGGAGAATATAATATTATTTTGATTAAGAACACAATGGGATGAGGCATTTCTTTTGCTTTTCTGTTTACTGTGCTTAAAAAACTTCATTCCTTCATGAAATTATTCAGTTTTTGTTTTTTCTAAAATGATTTTCCTACCAATCTTTGTCATCTTAGTGGTACTTTTTGGAGGGAGGAGTGTGGTAGCAGTAATTTTGATGGAATTAAAAGTTTGATCTGGGTAACAGCAGTATTTACACAAATAGACCAGAACTTCTTTGGCTGAAAGTAATGATGATTGTTTTTGTGGGCTTTTGGGTTTTTATGTTCTGCCACTGCTTGTAAGTTAAGAGGTATGTACAAGAGTTTATTAAGAGATCTGATCTACATACTCAATAATGTATGCTGTCCCTTAATCAAGGAGGAGCTGAAAGAAAAGGCCAAGGTTGAAGATGAGAAAAAAGATGAAGAAAAAGAAGACCCCAAAGGAATTCCTGAATTTTGGTTGACTGTTTTTAAGAATGTTGACTTACTCAGTGATATGGTTCAGGTAATTTTATTCATAAAAACAGCAGTTTACTTTGAAGGATGAAGTTTTGAAATGGCTATAATGACTATTTTCTTCAGTATTGACCTTTCCAGAATGATTGCTTACTTCTGGAAAAACTAATATCTGTAGGAGGAAAATTACAGCTTTGATTAGCAATCAAATAAATTATAGTTCATTTTCTTTTTATTTATTTGAGTTAGAGTCTCACTCTCACCCATGCTGGAGAGCAGTAACATGTTCATGGCCTCTGCAGCCTCAACCTGCTGGGCTCAGGCAATCTTTCTGCCTCAGCCTTTTCCAAGTAACTGGAACCACAGGTGTGTGCCACCACTCTCGGCTAATTTTTTGATTTATTGTAGAGAACGAGGTCTTCGCCAAGTTGGCCAAGCTGGTCTTAAACCCCTCTGGGCTCAGGCAGTCCTCTTGCCTCTGCCTCCGAAAATGCTGGGATCACAGCCATGAGCCACTGTGCCTTGCTTGTTTTTATTTATTATTATTATTTTTGAGTCAGAATCTCACTCTGTCATTTAGGCTGGAATAGAGTGGCATGATCACGGCTACCACAGCCTCGACCTGCTTGGCTCAGGCGATCCTTCTGCCTCAGCCACCTGAGTAGCTGGGGCTGTAGGTATGTGCTACATGCTCGGCTAAATTTCTTATTTTATTGTAGAGATGAAGTCTTGCCATTTTGCCCAGGCTAGTCTTGAACTCCTGGGCTCAAGGAATTCTCTCACCTCTGCCTCTCAAAGTGTTGGGATTATAGGCATGAGCCACTGCGCCCAGTCCAGTTGCTCATTATTGACTGGTGTTTTCTCATAGCTCGGTGCCTTCTGGCTTTACATGGTTAGTATGTAGGTATGATGGAAAAGAGGATTCTTATAGTTTATAAACCTTCCCAGCCCTTCTTTTGTCTGAAACAAGAACTACTTTTAGGGGAAATTTTCATTTTAAAAGGATATACCGCAAAGATGTTTAGCTTGTTCTCTGCAAAACCATTGTAGATGTCACCTTTGGGAAACTTGCCTTAGAAGCATTTCTTGAGCCACTACCATTTGCTTTGTAGTATATACTACCTTTGTGATTGCTGGGCATTATATTAAGAAAAAGTAATGATCTCAACACAATTACTGTTTACTGTACTTCTACTTTAGCAAAGTAGAAAAATATCAAGCCAGGAGTAGAGGAACATACATCTGGAGAAGACAGCAGTTGTAATCAGAAATCGTTTTAAAAGCAAATATGCCTCATTTAGACTCAGATTTCTATTTTTTAGCCCATTTTACATAATGTTCTCTATTTAGTCACTTTCTCTCCCAGTGGCAGCAGAACCACAGTATAAACTAACTTTAGTTTATACTATAACTAGCTGTAATCCTGAGTGTTTTAAGATTATAATTGTTATAGAAAACTTTGCTATAAAATATATATGTCAGTCAGCAAGGGTCTGTGTAGTAATAGCAAACCCTTGAAAGACATTAGATGCTTATTTAAAAACATTTTTTTTTAACTTGAAGGAACATGACGAACCTATTCTGAAGCACTTGAAAGACATTAAAGTGAAGTTCTCAGATGCTGGCCAGCCTATGGTAAAAGAACTTTAAAATATTTCCAATTTTGTAATAGATGCTTATGGGTAGATAAATGGAAATTTTTTTAAAAGGTCACATTCAAGGTTACTTTTTTATCATAGTAAATAAATATTTGGATGCTATTAACTGTGATTCAGTATTTATTCCTTTTCCTTCCTCTGAACAAGATGTTTTCAGAACACTGACAGTCCTTAATTCTGTATTAAAGTGGTTACAAATAATGGCAGGGGGATGTGAATAAGTAAAAACTCATTCTGTAATAAGAGGCCTGTGCCTGGAAATTAACCTAAGACAGATGATGACAGAGGGTCCCCACTCCACCAAAGGAAATATCAACCAGCAGTTGCTCTCTGCAAAACCACCAGCATTATGTCAAATATGATCAAAACTACTGTAGCGACTATGAGGCTGTAGATTCTTAAGTCTGGGTTTTTTCTGTGTCAAGTTCAGGTTCTAATCCTTTTTTTTTTGAGTTAGAGTCTCACTCTGTCACCCAGACTGGAGTGCAGTGGCACGCTCCCAGCCACCGTAGCCTCGATCTGCTGGGCTCTGACAATCTTTCTGCCTTAGTCTTCCAAGTAGCTGGAACTATAGGTGCGCGCTACCATGCCCGGCTAATTTTTGATTTATTGTAGAGATGAGGTCTCACCTAGTTGCTCTGGCTTTTCTTGAACCCGTGGGCTCAGGTGATTCACTCACCTCGACCTCCCAAAGTGCTGGGATTATAGGCTGAGCCACCGAGCCCGACCTCTAATCCTTTTAAAAGCTCCTTTCATGGTGGTAGGTAGGAAGGAAAGGGTACATGGTCAGTTTATTTAGGTATATCTAGCCTATTGTGTAAACATGTTACTAAATAATAGTTGCAAATTGAAACTAAACTTTATTCAGTTTGATTTATGTGTACCTCATTTTGCTTGTAACATAATTTGGGATTTATCTGGCTCTTTCATTTTTTTTTTTTTTTGAGTTGCGGTCTCCGTCTGTCACTCATGCTGGAGTGCAGTGCCATGCTCATGGCCACTGCAGCCTCTACCTGCTGGGCTCAGGTGATCCTTCACCTCAGCCTTTCAGAAGCTGGAACTACAAGTGTACATCACCATGTCCAGCTAATTTTTATGATTTATTATAGAGACGAGGTCCTGCCAAGTTGCCCAGGCTGATCATGAACCCCTGGGCTCAGGCATTCCTCTTGCCTCAGCCTCCCAAAGTGCTGGGATTACAGTCTTGAGCCACCATGCCTGGCTTCATTCTTAAAATTATATATTTCAGAGTAGAGGAAGCATTATTACTTAGAATTTTATTTTATCTTTTAAATTTTTTTCTTTTTCTTTTTCTTCTTTTTTTTCAGTTGGAATCTAACTCAGTTGCCCAGACTGGCCACCACAGCCTCGCCTGCTGGGCTCCGGCGATCCTTCTGCCTCAGCCTTCCAAGTAGCCGGAATTACAGGCATGCACTACCACGCCCGGCTGATTTTTTAATTTATTGTAGAGATGAGGTCTCGCTGGCCAGGCGGGTCTCGAACCCACGGGCTCAGGCAATCCACTCACCTCAGCCTCCCAAAGGCGCGGGATTACAGGCTGAGCCACCAAGCCCAGCTAAATTATTTTATTTTTCAGCCAGATTTTCACTCTGTTCCCCAGGCTGGAGTGCAGTGGCATGCTCACAGCCACTGCAGCCTCAACCTGCTGGGCCGAGGTGAACTTTCCACCTCAGCCTTCCAAGTAGCTGGAACCACAAGTGCATGCCACTATGCCTGGCTAATTTTTTAATTTATTGTAGTGATGATGTCTCCCCAAACTGCCTAGGCTGGTCTTGAACCTCTGGGGTCAGGCAGTCTTCTTGCCTTTCAAAATGCTGGGATTACAGGTGTGAGTTGCTGCACCTGGCCTTACTTAGAATTTTATATGTGCTTGTAAAAACCACAGATTAAACTTTGCATACTAACTCATTGAAGTTTATGGTGTAGATATTTAAATAACTTAATGCTTTCTTCCTCCAGAGTTTTGTCTTAGAATTTCACTTTGAACCCAATGAATATTTCACAAACGAAGTGTTGACAAAGACATACAGGATGAGGTCAGAACCAGATGATTCTGATCCTTTTTCTTTTGATGGACCAGAAATTATGGGGTGTACAGGGTGAGTTTAATATTACTATTTGAACAGAATGTTTTTTCTCTTTGTTGTACTTCTGACTAGTGATACTTGTATTTTCAGTTACATATGTACATAGTCTGTCTCCATACGTTTTGGCAAAATGTTTCCTAAGAAGTGCTTATCCATTTTCCTATAATTCTCCTTTGGCCTGTGACTATAAAGCATATTTCTGCAAAAGAGTAATTCTATTATAACCTTAATTATATTGTGTGTTTATGCAAATTGTAAATATGCTTATATTGAAAATTTGTTTTGAAATAAGAATTTTCCCTTTATACTGCTACAGAAAACATTTGAGCCAATTTGCCTCTCTAAAATCTGAAATCATGTATTACTTGAAATTGTGCCAGTTGTGATAGATAATTTTTCTTTGTTTTGCCAGGTGCCAGATAGATTGGAAAAAAGGAAAGAATGTCACTTTGAAAACCATTAAGAAGAAGCAGAAACACAAGGGACGTGGGACAGTTCGTACTGTGACTAAAACAGTTTCCAATGACTCTTTCTTTAATTTTTTTGCCCCTCCTGAAGGTAAGTAGTGCTTTTGTTTGGGTATTAATAGTTGTTTTATGGCAAATGTTGTTTCATTTCTTACTCATTTAAATTTCTTTTCTCAATTTTGCAGTTCCTGAGAGTGGAGATCTGGTAAGTGGTATTGTTATTTATTTATTGAATTATTTACTATATATGAAATGAAAGCACTGGTCTCCAAAATTGGAGAGTGGATGGTTGCTGCTAGCATTGGGTTCTGAGGCTGCAGTGCATGGGACAGACCTTTATGGGTCTGAAAAAGGAGTCACTTTAAATAGTGCTAATGTCTTTGCTGAGAAACACTGAAAGGAAAAACTAAAGATTTTATTTGATTTTAAGAATTGTGGGTATTTCTTTGAGGGATTTAACTATCTTAGCCACATTATGGTTAGAATTCATTCCTGTGATTGTTATTCCAATGGAAATATGGTTTCCTATTGTGGACATACATGTACATATATGTGGCATATAAGAAAGAACTGTGAAGTGGTCCTGGACTGAGGCCCTACCTCAAAGTCTACCCAGGCAGAGTAGGCCAGGTATGTTTTGAATTTGGTTTTCTTTTGATGGGGTTTTTGAATTTACGTTAACTGAGGTGGTTCAAATAGTTTTGAATTATAGGTTAGGGATATAACAGCTAGAAATTGTTACTCTGAATACTTGTGAATTGCATTAGTCTTCGCTAAGGCTTAAGCCAGATCTGTCTTGTAGAACAAAAATAGGAATATAAAGCAGTGTGTGAATCATATGAGTATTAAGATAGATACAGTATTTTCTTATCAGTGAATGGGCATCAGTTGGAGATTTTGTTCATTTTTTTTCTTTTTCTTAGTTCGTTACTAAATAGTGATGGTGACAAAAGTCTTGTAGTTAGAGAAAACCTCCACCTGTTGTTTAAATTAAAGTTTCTGTCCCCCTTTTTGGCAATTTTTTTTATTAGACTATGTTGATGACTCAGTAAATGTCTATGGAATTCACAGAGGGTATATTTATTGTTTAGTATTACAGACCTTAAATGGGGCTATTATTTTTATTGATGCATATTTATATATATATAAATATAAATATATGTATATTTTACTTCAGTGCTTTGGGGGATACAGATAGTTTTGGTCTCCGCTCTAAATGTACCCACCACCCCCACTGTATACATTCTACCCAAATAGGTGATTTTTTTGGGGATCCCTGTTCCTCCTTCCCCCTTCTGAGGCTCCTGTCCCCATTATACCTACTGTTCTCTGTGTCTTAGCGTAGTCTTAGTTTAGCTTTCACTTATAAGTGAGAACATGCGGTTATTTGGTTTTCTGTTCCTGAGTTAGTTCACTTAGGATGATGTTCTCCAATTCTATCTAAGTTGCTGCAAAAGACATTGTTTCATTCTTTTTGATAGTTGAATAGTATTCCTTAGTATATGTGTACTATATTTTCATTATCCGCTGATTGGTTGATGGGCATTTAGGTTGATTCCACATCTTTGCAAGTGTGAATTGTGCTGTGATGAGCATGCTGGTGCAGATGTCTTGTTATATAATATAACAGCCTCTCTTCCTTTGGGTAGATAACCTAGTTGTGGGATTGCTGAATTGGAATTACTCATTTAATTATTTTTATTAAATGAAATGGAGTACTGCCATGTTTCCTTGCCTCAAGGGATCCTTCTGCGTGCTTTCCTGCTTCTCAAATTGTCAAGATTACAAGCACAATCCCCTACATCATCCAGACTGTGTGTGTGTGTGGCTGTGTGTGAGAGAGAGATTCTGTGTGTGTGTGTGTGTGTGTGTGTGTGTGTGAGAGATGGGGTTGTGCAAGGTGTGCGTGCTGATTAGGAGGAATGGGGTAGGATGAGGAGTGGCCAAGACATTTCTGGGCCTCCTTGAGGGAGTTCCCTTACACCCCACCCAGGGCCCAGAGATTCCATGCTGGAGCTCGACTCTGCTTTGCAACATAGCAAGAGCCCATCTCTGAAAAATAGGAAGTCCTGGGTTGACTTGCCTTAGTTGTTTTGCTGTCTTTATCAAATAGGAGGACTCTTACCAAATTTGGCATTAAGTAGACAAAGCTGTATGACTGTTTGGATCTTTTAAAAGGATAAAGTGATCCTTTGTGGTCTGCTGTTGTGGCCTTCTATTTGCCATATACATAGTGTTATTTACAAAAGTCTGAGGGTTTTTCCCCCTAGTATTCTGTTTGGTGTTTTCCTTTTTTTTTTTTTGAGCTGGAGTCTCACTCTGTCGCCCAAACTGGAGTGCAGCGGCCGCTCCTGGCCACCGCAGCCTCGACCTGCTGGGCTCCGGAGATCCTTCCGCTTCAGCCTTCCGAGTAGCCGGAATTACAGGCACGCGCTACCACGCCCGGCTAATTTTTTGATTTTTATTGTAGAGATGAGGTCTCGCCTGCCAGGTGGGCCTCGAACCCGCGGGCTCAGGTAATCCCCTCACCTCAGCCTCCCAAAGGCGTGGGATTACAGGCTGAGCCACCGAGCCCGGCTGTTAGGTGTTTTCAGTAATATTTTTCAACAATATTTTAAAAGGAAATTGCAGTTATGTGACAGTGTTTTAAATATCCCCATCCTATTTATTTGAACTAATTGAGATTTCTGTTTCTTATTTACATAAAAAGCTCAGATTAAAGTCTATATTCTTTTCAAACCAGAGAAAGCTAAGCAACTAGTGTTAATTTTTGTTTCCCATAATCTCTAAGTATGTACACTGACTTGCTTTTTTATTTTGATTAAAAATTTGCAAATCTAATTTTAACATAAGTAAAAAGTAAAGTTGAAGATTTCTTTCCTTTCATCATGATTTTTTAAACCCAGGAGTCTAGCAGATGCCAAATTAAATAACAGTTATCTTTAAATTCCATACTTCTGTTTTCCTTTTAAAAATAGGATGATGATGCTGAGGCTATCTTGGCTGCAGACTTTGAAATTGGTCACTTTTTACGCGAGCGTATAATCCCAAGATCAGTGTTATACTTTACTGGAGAAGCTATTGAAGATGATGACGATGATGTAAGTGAATTTGAATCCTGCAAGAAAATAATTTGGTGATGATATAGTAGTCAGAACTGGTAAGAAATTAGATTTAATTTTTACAAAGCAGAACAGAATAGTTCAAAGTTAGGCTAATTACTGATGCCCTGTAGCTAGCTAGCTTTTCTCGGTTCTAAGTAGGTCTCCTTAGGCTTTTTGGATTTTTTTTTTTTTTTTGAGTTGGAGTCTCACTCTGTCACCCAGACTGGAGTGCAGTGGCCGCTCCTGGCCATCGCAGCCTCGACCTGCTGGGCTCCGGCGATCCTTCCGCCTCAGCCTTCCAAGCTGGAACTACAGGTGCATGCTACCATGCCTGGCTAATTTTTGATTTGTTGTAGAGATGAGGCCTTGTCAAGTTGCCCAGGTGGGTCTCGAACCCACGGGCTCAGGCAGTCCACTCACCTCGGCCTCCCAAAGTACTGGGAATATAGGCTGAGCCACCGAACCCGGCTGAATTTGTTTATCTTAGCTTTTAATTTTCTGCTAATAAGACTATTCTGTGTCAGTGAAACTTTTATATTTGGTTAGTGTCATAGATCTATCATGCAACAGCCTTTGACCACACAGAACTAGGATGTTTTTTAGAGCTTGAGGTAACATTTACTTAGATGGCATATAACTTTTATCCAAGGGGATATTAAGTAATGGTTAAGATAACATCAGGCTGCCTTTAAATATTTTAGGTATCTTTATTGCTAAATGACAATTGTTAGAATGTGCTTTTTGATCACACTTTAACCACATGATTGCACTATGTTCTTTATTTTTATTTTTATTTTTTGTATTGGAGTCTCACCATGTCACCCAGGCTGGGGTGTAGTGGCACACTCAATGGTGAAAGCAGCCTTAACTGCTGGGCTCAGGTGATCCTTCTGCCTTAGCCTTCCAAGTAGCTGGACCTACAGGCATGTGCCACCACGCCTGATTAATTTTTTGATTTATTGTAGAGATGAGGTCTCTCCAAGTTGCTCAGGCTGGTCAGACAGTCCTCTCACCTCAGTCTCCCAAAGTGCTGGGGTTATAGGTGTGAGCCATTGTGCCCAGCCTTGTACTATGTTCTTTATCTTAATTTTATAAATTGCTGGAATTTAGATAATGGCAGTGAACTAAGTGATTCCTGCAGCTACTGTGTGTTTCTCGGTTTTATAATTGGCCACTTTAGGGGAAAGTGTTTTTTCTCTTTAGATATAGTTTATATACAGTGAGTTTTAACTCACATGTGCGTTAAAGTCATTAACACAGCTGTTTTTCCTTTTTAGTATGATGAAGAAGGTGAAGAAGCGGATGAGGTAATGTTTACCAAATGAGCAAATAATTCTCTGTGTTAACACATTGAGAAGCAAATTGAATGACTTATGTATTTCTTTGCAATAATCATTATTCTGTCATTTGGAATAAAAAACATTTTGGAAAATATGGTTTTAGAATTCTACAGCCAAACAATGTATGTATAAGGTTTCAATAAATAAATTGCAAAACTCGCAACATTTTTTTATTTCAAATAATTTTGTTCTGCTGCAGGGTTATCAGCTCTTTGAAGAAGTCAAAAGCTGCAGTAAACTTTTTCAACGTTGGCTGCAGTAAATATTTTCAATAAAAGCTGTCTGGATGTCTCAAGTTGTGTTGGGAAATTTTTCCTATTAGAAACTTTCAAATTAAATTGTATTATCACCAAACTCTGTAATCATGAAAATCTGTTGACCATAGTATAACTTGTATTAAATTTTCCCTACATTATGAGCCAGTTTTTGCTACTATGTACCTACTTCATGGATGCATTTTGAACTTTAATATAGGAAGGGGAAGAAGAAGGAGATGAGGAAAATGATCCAGACTATGACCCGAAGGTGAGCCAAATCAGTGCTGCTTTCTATTAAATATAAGGCAGACTAAAGTGAGAGTTGGTGTTCTGAATGAACATCAAGTTTATTTTTCTCCATTAAAGACTTCAGTAAAACCCATTGACTGGAAACTATTTTCTTTTTTCAATCCTACTGGCATTTTGAACAGTACACATAATTTCAGTGGACCTTTCCTAAGAAACATTATTTTTGGTTCTGACTTTTTATTTTTTAAAGTTTCAGGCTAAGTAAACCCTGGGATTCTATATTTACTTTTAAGAGGGATTCTATTTTAATAGCGCTTTTACTGATTTTTAACAATCAAAGGAAATTTATTGCTTGTATTTTTGGATTGTTTTCCCTCCAAAGGAAAGCTTATACACAAAGGTCAGTTTTTCAAAGATCTGAATGCAAGAATGTTCAGGAACTGGGCCTGTTATTCCTGGGCATTTGTCTTCCACAAAATACATAGGAGGTTATCAGAATTTATTGGAAACTTTGGGCATTCAATAATTTGCTGAATGCTGTAAAATACTCAGAAGATCTTTAATCTAGTGAGCAAGTAAGAAAGGATAATTTAATACTCTAATAGGTATGAGTAGCTCTTAAATATGAATAGCATTAGTACTTTGGAATAATTGAACTATAGCAAAACTCATTGGTAATATGACCAACAAATGTGTTTGGTAATTTTATTTTTTAAAGATTATGGTTTAGTGTGTTGCATTTTATGGAGTTAATTCTACAGTGTGAAATTCAGGCTTTATTTTACTATTTCAGTGACTTGCTAATTTAATAGCTTATCACCATTGTACTATGCCATTTCTTTGATTTGATGAATACTTTGACAAAACAGTGAGATACTGTGATAATTAAGGTAGTTAATTACTATTGAAAAATTCACTGAAGCAGGTAGAAGAAGATAGATTGACTTGTTGTTTTCCTTTAACAGAAGGATCAAAACCCAGCAGAGTGCAAGCAGCAGTGAAGCAGGATGTATGTGGCCTTGAGGATAACCTGCACTGTAATAGCCTAACACAACTATTATTTACTTACAGCCTTATGTTTTTGTATTTTCTTGGTAGACTCAGTAATTTTTTTTAAAGGACAGGAACTGATATTTTAAAGACCAATTTGTTCTACCTAGCATTTTAACTATAGTTTTTTGCTAGATCTGTTGAATGCACAAATTCTCATGCATGTTCATTCATTGCTTCATAATTTGGTTCTTCTGGAATATTTTCATCATGTAGCCATTGGAGTACAGCTATGAAAATTAACATCTGTTAAACGAAACACATTTTTTTTCCTGATCCCCCCCACCCCCCCGAAGAACCAAAGTATTTTTTTAGCTGGTTGTTGAATGGGGTTAAGTCCATTTGCATTAGCTGTGCCTTTCATTACTTTGTTACAGAAATGCAGTGACTTAAACTAAGACAATTCATCATGTTAAAAAAAAAAATTGGTGAGACAACTATATGGTTAAGAATTTCCAGTAAGACCTCACCTGATAACTGTGAGATTGTTAATGGATTTTTGTGTTTTAGGTAACATAGTTAACTATAAAGAAACTTAACTCATGATACACAGGGAGGTGACTAAAACCTAGGATTTTCAGAAGTTAGTCTATTATTTATAACTGTACTTTTAAACTTAACCTCCATTAACTGAGCATCTTTGTGGTAGGGTCTATCTTCTTCCCTGGAAGGGTTGAATTTACATCATTTGACAAGCCTATTTTAAGTCTTTTGTTGTTGTTTGTTTGCTTGTTTTTTGTTTTTGCAGCCTAAAATAAAAATGTCAAATACAAGTTTAGTTCTCACAAGATAATGTCTTAATTTTGTACTAATTCAGGTAGAAGCAGAGGCCTTGTTTGAAATAAAGGTTATGTCCAGTTTTCCACATATTGAAGAAAATGTTAGCAACTTTGGAAAATGGCACTACTATGTCTTCTAAGAGAGTGTTTGAGGAAAAAAAAACCAAAAATCTTAAATGATCTGATGCTTTTTAAAAAAGAAAATTGAAAAGATAAATTTCTTTTTCCTTGGATTAGAACTAGAGAGAAGACCCCAAGCCTCTGGTTTATTCTAATTATTACTGCTTCAAGTATGAGTATGTCATTTACCCATGCTTCTGTTTACTATGTATTAAAATGGGTAGTACTGTTTACTTAACTACCTCACGGATATGTTAAAGCATATTAAGTTAAATTTCATGAAATGTTTCTCAGTCTCATTAAAAGCTCAACATTGGGCCTATTTATAACGTGTGATATGGAGCATCTTATTCACACCATACTTTGAAAATTAAACTGGAAAAATAAAGGTTAAGTACCTCTTTTCTTGATCTGGGCAGGCAACACTCTTTCAGATCTTTGTGTGGCTCCTATTTTTACAGAAGTGGATGGATGAACTATTTTAAAGGTCCAAAGATTTTTTTTTTTTAAAGGTATTTTTGATGACCATAAGTACTATAGGGATGATGGGACTAAAATTGAAGGCCCTTTTTTTTGTGGGGGGTGAAAAATGCCATTAAATTTGAGACTGTAGAGCCACATTTAAAATACCTCAGGCTAATTACTGTTAATTTTGGGGAATGAACTTTTTTTGATAGGGTGGACAGATTGAATTGGGTTGTGGTTAGAGGAAGTCTAGAGTTCCTAGGTTACATTGAATTCATTTTTAGAGGTTATCATAGAGCTTCCTTTCTGAAATGTTAGTGTTAAGGTCTTGGATTGTGAGCACATTGTTATTTGTGTAGTGCTATATTTACTGCTCTCCTGAGATTTTAACTTACTACTGGAAATCCTTAACCAATTAAAATAGTATTTTCCTTTTTATTTTCAAGATGATTTTGGTTGCTTTGATTAGACATTCTGCGCTGATTTTTATTTTTTTGTAACCACAGCTCATCTAACTGCAGCCTTTTCTGAATTCTAAGGTTTTTTATCTAAAGATAGAATCCCATTTTTAATGAACTTAAAGAAGGAGCAAAATCTTTTTTTCCCCCATTCCTTTAGGAAATAGCTGTTGCCAAAGTGAAGAGGTAGATAATATTGAGTCTTGTTATAAAGGGATGTGGTTTGTGGAGGAATTTTATAAGATTGGAGTTTCAAGGGATGTCAGTGTTTATGCCATTTTTCTAGTTCCAAAATGCTTCCATTCCATTCTAGCAATTTGAAGTATGTAATTTGAAATCCTAATAAAATTTTGGATTTAATTTTATAAAATGTACTGGTGATATTTTGGGTTTTTTTTTTTAAGTGAATATATACACTGAATTTTTAGAAGAGTGGAGAATAGTATAGATGTCTAGAGTGGGCTGTTTTGTGCTTAGGCCACTATGACCTGTAATGTTGTATAACTTTAAGAGTAACCTCCCAAAGTGGAGTTAGCTATTTGACGACTAGAACGTAATTCCATAGTTTGACAGATTTTATTCTAAATTTTCTGCAGTTATTTTTGAGACATGTCAAATATCTTTACATTCTTAGTTTATAGTTTCCACCAACCTGTACACTGACTACCAACAATACTCATTTTTTCTTGTTTGAAATGGTAAAATATCATATAGTTACTTATACAGAAAAACTTTGAAAAAAACAAATTTTAGGACTGTCCTTTATGGTCATCCAGGTATGGCGAGTAGATAACAACAGTTCCAAGAAATTGACTAATTGGTAATTTCATATAGATGTCTGAAAGTCACATGTAAGTATTTCCTAGAATTCTTAAACTAATCTAGTTTACTGAAGCAGTATTAAAGTCACTTTTAGATTTTGAAAATATCTTAATGTGTGGAATTGGCTTACAGAGTGGTACTTAAGAAAAATGGGATTCTACCTCTTTCTGTTACAGCTGATTAACAATCACCAAAAGGATTATATTAGCTTTCATAGACATATTTTTGTTCTGTGAATAGGTTAATAAGAGCAGTTGGTGTATGGTAAGGCCCTTGAGATAATTAAATTAATAGTGTTTATATTACTGCTGCTTGTAGAACACTTTAAATTTGTGGGTTTATATGAGTTATAGGCCATTCCCATTATTAAAAATAAAGATAAAATTTTGAGTTATTGTTTGTGAAAACCTTACCGTGCCATATAAAACTATTAAACTAATGTCCAAATACGCTTTGAATGCTTTGGTTTCATGGCTTGGTTTAAATTTCGAGTCCATTTTTATGAATTAGTCTTATAAAAATTTTAGCCTTTATATTTTTGACTATTTAAATCAAGCCAAATGTTATTTTAAATGTACAGAGTAGATTGATAGCTTAGAAGAGCATACGTTCTTTGTAGGAGCTTTAGAAAAGAGAAACATATATATGCTAATTCAGTTTTTTAAATCTTCCACTGTATATATACTTGGTAATTGTGAGCTCGATTTTTGTGTTGAATATATGTGTTCATAACTTAGGTAATTTGCTACTTAAGGCTCTAAGACTCTGATACCTGAAAAGTAAATGTAAATGGCCATGGTGAAGTAATATTGAAATTAACTTACTAGATGTATACTCTTGATTTTTTTTTTTTTTTTTTTTGTATACTGATTTAAAAATCCAGATATTAAAATCTATAACCTGGACAAAAAGCCAAGTTCTTGGACTGATTAAGGATCACTTATGTGACTTTAGAGAACTGGAAACATCCTTGTTGGTGTATGAAATTACTTTAAGGATAAGTGTTTATCCATATGAAATTTTAATTATGTATTCAGCTAATTATATTATCAAAAATACAGTATACTTTGTATCTTGTGTTTCTTCCATTTGATATACTGTCAGATTTTTTAGTTTATAAAAAGTAAGTTATTGACTAAAATTCTTAGTATAGTCCCTGGCTTAGGATGTTTTGACTTCAAGATGTCAACTTTATGGTGAATTTATTGTGGTATTAACTGTATTTCAGCTTTAATGATATTTTTGACATACAGTGGGTTCATTAAGACATGACCCTGTCATAAATCCAGGAGCATCTGTATAAAAGTAGAGCCTATTAATTTGTACAACTTGATGAGAGCTTTGAGCAGAGGTTTCAAGAATAGGTAGGAATTGACGCTGAGCAGTGAGCAGTTCAGGTTGAAGAAGAGGAGTAAATACTGGTGGAGGTCCCGGAACAGCAATTCAGGGCACATTCAAGAAGGTGAAATGAATAACTGATGGAAATAAAAGGACCAATCTGTAGAAAGGTTAGCTGTGGAAGTTCTTTTAAAGGGTTTACTACAGTGAAAGCCACCTCTGTAGGGTATTTAGAGGGAAACTTTTTCATGAAGACAATTTCAAAAACTAAAGTTTTTTTTGAGTTGGGGGTTTCACTCTGTTACTAGGCTGGAGTACCTTGGCATGGTCACAACGATCATCGTTCACGGCAGCCTTGACTTCTTGGGCTCCAGCAATCCTTCCACCCCAGCATTCCGAGTAGCTAGGACTATAGGTGCATGCCACCATATCCGGCCGGTTTTTTATTTTTTTGTGGAGACAAGTTTTCACTAATGTTGCTCTGGCTGGTCTTGAGCTCCTGGGCTTAAGCAACCCACATGCCTTGACCTCCGTAAATATTGGGATTACAGGCGTGAGCCACCACTGCCAGCCTCCGTGATGATAATTTTTGAAGACATGATAAGAGTCAGCCATTTGAAGGTAAGAAGTTTGAGGTAGGTAGGCCCTCAGGCTACTTGGAGGCTGATAAAGGCCCTCAGGGTCTTCTATAAAGAACTGAAAAGTAGGCTAAATGACTGTAGGAATGGGGAAAAGTGGAGAGCAAGGTGGTGGAAAGCGAAATGTACATAACCTAGTTTTTTTTTAAATACCGGATTAAAGTTTTTCTGGAGTGAATCCCCCTAGTGAAATTCCAGGTTGGTGTTTTCAGGTAACTACCTTTATCAATATTGCCGCTTTCTTTTAACTCTAATTAAATTATAACAGTTGAAAGAATTCCTGTGTATTCCTTACTTAGACCAACATAGTCTTTGACTCACAAAGGTTTTCTAGGTTCACCGTAGGCCTTTACTGTTCCAGCCATGGAATGGGCTAGTCCTCCAAGGGATCCTTGGTTCCTTGCGTTGGGGAATATTACTTAAAGAACAAATCTTGATTCTGAGTGTACTTGTTACAGGTATTTCTAGAACCTTTCAGGTAAAAATTACCTAGAAAATCTGTAGATATATCATAAACTGTTTACAGAAGGAATAGTTTTGAAGTTCAATTTGACAACAGTCACTTATCTTTCCTAGTGCTACTCCAGTTCATATTTTTAACTTCAAATCAGTGGAATCAGTTCATTCAATGAGGAATTGTAGGTGAGGTTGCAAAAAAAAAGCCATGAATAGAATCTAAATTTAGACTAAAACTTTGCAGTCCCTAAGCAAATGTCTGCCATCACATTTTAATGGATATGTATGAGAATAAAGTAGTTTCATTTGGTCGTAGTACATTTTTTTGTGTGTGTGTGTTGGAGTCTCACTCTGTCACCCAGACTGGAGTGCAGTGGCGGCTCCTGGCCACCGCAGCCTCGAGCTGCTGGGTTCTGGCGATACTTCCGCCTCAGCCTTCCAAGTAGCTGAAACTACAGGCGTGCTCTACCACACCTGGCTCATTTTTTGATTTATTGTAGAGATGAGGTCTCACCAAGTTGCCCAGGTGGGTCTTGAGCCCGCGGGCTCAGGCAATCCACTCACCTCAGCCTCCCAAGGTGTGGGATTACAGGCTGAGCCACCGAGCCCGGCGGTATTAGTACATTTAAACACAGGCTTTGGAGTCTGTCTATTACCTGTTCAACATTTTTTATATAAGTGATAAAAGATTTTGGTGAACATTAATGAGAAAACATAAAATACTTAGGACCCGATAATGAGTATTTAGTAGATGTGCTTCCTAAACAGCCTGGAATTTGTGGTTGGGGTCACTTTTTAGATCGAGTTGGTAGTTAATTTCAGAATTAGGGTTTTTGTTGTGTCAGTGGAAAAATTGCCCCTAGGTGAGAGGTGGTGTGCTCTGTGTAAGCTGAGACTGGGACAGAAATGTATGTATTTAAACTTACGCTTCTATTTTGGAAAGTTTTTCATGTTCTAAACAATAAAGAAATAGAGCTTGTCCTTATCTAAGGTCAGCCAGGTTTTACAAAATGTAAATATATTTGTTTTCATATGATGATTTATTTTCTTTGGACTTTGGCAGAATCCAGAAATAATCCAGGGTAAAACTAGATGGAGTCTGATTATGTTGAATAGATTTCTCATGTGTGGAACACCCCCGTTATCATTACTCAGCCTATCTTTTTCCACCTCTCACATTTACCTAGAACCCTCGACATGGGGCAGTTTTCTAGGTGTGGACAATGAGATGGGTGTCTGTCTTGAGATCAGATATGATTTTAGACTTGGATTCAACCAGTCACAAGGGGGTTTTGTTTTGAGATGGGCTCTCATTGTGCTGTGTGGCTGGTCCCTATTCTGCCTCAGTTTCCCAAGTAGCTGGGATTGCATGTATATGCTGTTGTACCTGGCTACAAGTTTTAAAGCTAGTAGATGGACCTGTTGACTTTGCTGTTCAGTTGACTTTGTGAGTGAACCTAGAACCTTTAGAACAACATGGAGATCAGCTCAGCTTATTTGACCTGCGTTTGCGGTTTCGAGTCTGCTTGGCTGCTTGCTTTTTAAATTCCTGCCACTGAGCTTTTGTGCATGTTTTATTTTAACATAAGACCTCCTTTTCATAGAATTATAGCTATTCTTTTTGGTTCTTTAGTACTGAATTGACTCTTGCAGTTCAAGAAATATTGTAGATACTTGCTCAGTAAAGGATTTCAGAACTTCCAGTACTGGACTTGGAATATGGTTGGTATACAGTAAATTTTTGTTTATGCAGATCAACTAGGATTTATCTGTACTCATTGCAACCATAATCCTGAATGTGGAACTATATATAGCAAGTTGAACGATGGATTCTTATAGTTGTTATATTCCTACATACTGAGAAAACCCATAAAACAACAAAGCTGGATTGTGTATACAGTTGAGTCATGAACAATGTTGGCTGGACTAGGAGTTCCAATCTCCCTCACCATAAAAAATATATAACTTGACTCTCCCAGAACGATTAATAGCCTACTGTTGAATGAAAGAAGCCTTACCAGTAACAGTCAACACATATTTTGTATGTTATATGTGTTATATACTGTAGTCTTACAATAAAGTAAGCTATAGAAAACAGGTTATTAAAATCATAAAAAAGA